TTTTGGAAACCTCAATATGTTTTCTATTTACTCCAAAAGTATTTTCCCAGCCCTGAAAGAAATGTGGACCCTATGGGCAAAAAAGTAAAAAATCCCATTTTTGGGATTTTCATTCCTATTTTTGGGAATTGCGGGATGCCCTTTGACCTTTTCAATTTTTTTTTTGCATATTCTTATTTGAAATGACAAATTTAACAAGCGTTGAAAATTTCATTGAGTTTTGTTCATAAATAAAGATTTTGTCATATATTACATATTTGTTTAATTTCTAAAACTATGATTTATATCAAAATTTTAATAGGATCGCAGATAGCTACAACAATTTAGTCCATATTTATCCCTTAATATAATTTTTTAGTTAGATATGGAAATTCTCGACCCTTTACAAAAAATTTCAAGCCAATATCTCAATTACATTCAATAATATGTTCATTTAAACCTGTGTCCTTTAATTTCATCTTTTTCATATTTTAGTATTAAGTATGACAGCACATATTTAAATCTTATATTTACCTATTTGTTTGCTTATCCTTATAATTGAAAGGTCCTATTATGCTTAAATTTTCAAAAATTTATAACTATTTTTTACCTAAATTTTTTCGACAGATCATTTCGTTCTGTTTCGTTTATGATCATGTAGGTAAAAATATACAGGTAATGATAATTTCGATTCATTCACTAATAAGAAATATCAATGACTGAATTACAGGTTATAGTAATATAGTCCTAAATGTTAATAGGTAGACAATTCGTAATTTTTTACTTTGGAATACCTGTATCGGAAATGACAAGAATTGGTATATAAGTAAACTTCTCAGATTTTAAGTACCATATTTAATAAATCTACAATGAAGATTACATTAAAGTACGAAGAGTTGTGTTCCGTTTTATGGAGTATATCTTCAAAAGGGCCAGAAAGAATTGAAGACATTTCAAATTATATAAAAACTACATATAGTAGAAAAGTAGACAAAACAGGCATATCAAAAATTGAAAACTTTTTAAAACTTTTTGATGTAAAAAGTAAGTCTGTGGATGGAAATCAAAAGAAATTTCGATTAAAATTTTGTAGTTGGATGGAAACTACTACGGAAATCTCAACTTACAACACATCAATAGGAGCGCCTTGCAAGTCATACGAAGACTTATGTTCAAGGTAAAAAAAAGAGGGTCACACAAAAACTTTTTTCAATCTCAAATGAGGAAATTGCTGATACATTTAACGAAATGCTGAAAAAGGAAAACCAACATATGGATGTCGTACATATTGCAACTATTCTTCCTAATGCATCACCAAAACGACTTAAGCGAATTGTGGAAAGTATACCAACTCCAACATCATAATCAAAATTTACTGAAGAGGAAGCAATAGCGCTTATGTTGGAACTGGGTCTCAGTCGAAATAAGTACCAAATATTAAGGAAAGCTCTGCATGAAAAAGGACACAATATATTACCATCATACAAGGCGATCCAGGAAAAAAAAAAACAAACTATCCTACTAAATCAACAAAAAATAATGAAGAATTGAAAGAACTGAGAGCTGCGGAAAAAAGCAGAATCCAAGAAGAATTTAAAGTTCAGATGGGATTAAACATCGACAAACCACTTTCAAGTTGCGGTAGTACAAATGACGGTAATACGTCGAGAAGGTTTTTTCGTGATTTTGAAATTACTTCAAAAATAACTGGAATCGACAAGGAGTTGCTTCGAAGAGTTAAAACTATTTTAATGGCACTGAATAGTAAACATAAAATTAATGAAAATCGATTTGGGGAATACACATCTGAAATTTCTAAATTACTTGTATCTCTGTATCCATGGAGGGAACTAACACCAACAGTACACAAAGTATTGTGTCATGGTCAAATAATAATTGAATCGAATATTCTTCCACTTGGAGAGTTAACAGAAGAAGCCCAGGAAGCGAGGAATCGAGATTTTAAGCATGTTCAACTATTCAGCTCAAGAAAATGCTCCAGGCAATCACAGAATGAAGATATTTTTAATAGTTTACTTCTATCTTCTGATCCTGTTCTTTCAACTATGCGAAAAAGATGGATTTGTTATGAAACTCTATCATCTCAAAACAAGGAAGATTTAAAGGACTTATATTACCTTCTGGATATGTATACCGATATGACAGATTATTTTATAGAAAATAAGTAGTGTTAGGAATTAACTATATAAGTAGGTTGTAAGAATTAATTGTATTATGTTTAAGATAAACAGTTCAAATAAAAAAAGCTATTATACTAACTGATGATATTGTATTAAATTGTGTTTTATATTTCGGTGGGCGGGAAAGGTAATTTGTGTGGGGTGATTTAGGTGTTGTTGTGCGTGGCTCATAATAAAATTATAATTTTTTTTATTTTATATATAATATTATAATAAAATAATTAACTAAATAATTTTTAAAAATTGTCCAAATATTTTATTCAACACCAAATGTATGTTCTGTCATACTTAATACTAAAATATGAAAAAGATGAAATTAAAGGACACAGGTTTATATGAACATATTTTTGAATGTAATTGAGATATTGGCATGAAATTTTTTGTAAAGGGTCGAGAATTTCCATATCTAACTAAAAAATGATATTAAAGGATAAATATGGACTAAATTATTGTAGCTATCTGCGATCCTATTAAAATTTTGATATAAATCATAGTTTTAGAAATTAAACAAATATGTAATATATGACAAAATCTTTATTTATGAACAAAACTCAATGAAATTTTCAACGCTTGTTAAATTTGTCATTTCAAATAAGAATATGCAAAAAAAAAAATTGAAAAGGTCAAAGGGCATCCCGCAATTCCCAAAAATAGGAATGAAAATCCCAAAAATGGGATTTTTTACTTTTTTGCCCATAGGGTCCACATTTCTTTCAGGGCTGGGAAAATACTTTTGGAGTAAATAGAAAACATATTGAGGTTTCCAAAACTGCTTTCAGTTTTCTGATCCCAGCTTTGGGATTTTAGAACATGTCGCCCAAAGTTGAAGTTTTGATAAAAAATAGGTCATATTCGGAAGGACGCAGTGGCAACATTTTCAAAAAATAGGACAAGTTTTTTACGCCAAAGCGTTCTGCGTAAAGATACCTTTTAGAAAACTATAAAATTGTTATATGTTCTTAATAAAAATTTTATTTTATTAATAAAAGAGTTAAGACACATTTTTGGCAAAAAAACGCCAAAAATCTAAAATTTTTTGAATTTTTAAATTAAAAAACGTATATTTTTGGATCTGTAAACGATATTGATCTGAAATTTTTTGTATATTATTGGAAATTTGTTGTCTAACTAACAAGAAAAAATTGAGTCCATTTGGTCCAAAATTACGCCCGGTATTCAAAAAAAGGCGGACCAAGGTATGGTAAATTTTGTATCACTAAATTTTTAAATGCCTATAACTCGGATATTATAAGAGATAAGTAGTATGTCCAAGCATGTTTTTTCAAGATCTCGTCGAGCGCTTTCACAAAATATAAAAATCTTTGTATTTGGGTGAAAAACAAAAAAATGGCACGAGTTTAAAAATTTTACATGTCGTAGGTACCCTACTTTGAGCCGCCACAGCGCCGTCCCTGGGGCATCTGCAGGGTTCATCTTCAAAACTTAAACTCAAATACTCCTTGGCTACGCTCACGCCAAATTTTATCCCGATCGGATCAGCCGTTTAGAAATGCCAGATTTATTTCCAAAAAATGTCCATTCTGCCCCACTGTGATGGCTGTTTATACTATTTTATTCAATACTCTTTTTACGTTATTTTTATTTACTATATTCTATTAAATAATTCAATTTTTGTACTTATTTAATTGTTTATGTATTGTTTATGTTTATGTAATTCTTATTATAAAACAATTTATAATTGTTTATAAGTAGTTTGTTAAAGTAAAAGTTTGTTAAAGTAGAAAATCCTCTCCCATGCATTAAAAAGAAGAAGAATTCGTCATACACTTTGAAATGTTATTTTATTAAAGTTGTGAGTTAAGAAATGAAGTGTTTTTTCGAATTTTTTATAAACATAAACCATATTAAATATTAATATATTATTTGATTTGAATAAACCATATATTTTTAATGAAAAATCGAGGATTTTTATGTTTTTTCTACTTTTTTAAAAATTTTGAAACTTAAATGAATTTTTTAAATTTTTATCTGGAAATTGGGTATTTTTTGGAAATTCCCAGCTCTGATATGCCAGCTCTGATACGGCAATATTTTTAGTAGGGTTCTATAGTTGAAACGAAAAGTCGACTTTTCGACTTTTTGCATTTAGTTAAAAGTCGACTTTTCGACCTTTCGACTTTTTCCATTTTATGAAAAGTGGATTTTTAGACTTTTCGACCTTTTTCATTTATTTAAAAGTCGACTTTTAGACTTTTCGACTTTTAGTATTTTATAAATGGTAGACTTTTTCCGACTTTTCGACGTTTTCCGACTTTTCGACTTTTTCCGACTTTTTTCGACTTTTCGACCTTTTTCGACTTTTCGACTTTTTTCGACTTTTCGACTTTTCGACTTTTCGACTTTTTCCGACTTTTTGATTTTTTAAGACTTTTTGACTATTTTCGATTTATTTGGATTTTTCTTCGACTATTTTTTTACTTTTTTCGAGTTTTTCCGACTATTTTAGAGTTTTTGACCTCTTTTCCACTTTTTTAAAATTTTCGACTTTTTTCGACTTTTCGACTTTTTCCGACTTTTCGACTTTTCGACTTTTCAACTTTTTTCGACTTTCCGATTTTTTGACTTTTCGACTTTTTTCGACTTTTATTTACAAAGTCGACTTTTCGACTTTTTTCATAGACGATAGTCGAGTTATCGACTTTTTTGGAACAAAATAGTCGACTTCGACTTTTCGATTTTTTTCGACAAAATGTCGATTGTTCGATTATTCGAAAGTCGATTTATAAAACCCTAATTTTTAGTACACATATATTGATAAACTTGGCATTACTTTTAAACGTCATATATTATTTTTTTTAAGCAACATTTTTTATTCTTTTGCAGGATTGGCGCGTTGGATGGAGAAACTTGACTATAGAACATTGGAGCACATATCTGTGCATTGGAGGATAGTGAAGAACACTGGAGGATAGCGGAAAAACTGGAAACTGCTTCAATCCTGGAAATAATGTAAGAGTAAAAATTGTAGAGGATGAAAATAGTATTTGTTGGACTTTTAAAAACAATTTTTGTTAATATGCTCAAAGTAAAATTTTTATTGAAGAAAATACAGTGACTCAAAATCGGACATGGTTTTATTAAGTTTAAATTAAATAAAAAATATTTTAAAAATTACTTTTTTCAGATTTTAATTATTTGCATGATTTTAGTGGTATACTTGCCTATTACTCTAATAAAAATTTCTAAAAGATTTATTTTCTTTATAGAAATATTCTACATTAAAGAAGAAATATAAGTAAGCATTTTAAAGTCAAACGCAAAATCGATTTTGCTTCTTTATCATTAAAAATGTATCCAGTTCTACTTAATTGTGTGTTCCATGGTGTCTACATCTTTAACGGCGGTCTAGGAACTATAGAAATAAGGCATCCTAGTATTCGAAAAGGAGGAAATACGAAATCTGTACCAAATATAAATAAAATCATGACATAAATGAACATAATTTTAATATTAAAGCGTTAAGGTCAATGAAAAATTTGAAATGGAAAAAGTAAAGCCCGTACATTACTCGAGGTGATAAAAATCCTTCAAAAGTAAAGTAAACTAATATGTATAAGAAAATCGGCATGAGGTAAAGCACGCTTATAAATTTTTTATGGTCAAGTTTAAAAACTGTTGATTTATAAGCGCTAAAAATATAACTACGTTTAAATGTTTCTATAGAATATTCACATCAGGACAAATTAGTTCTTTTGGAATACTAAAACTAAACTATAATATGTTCTATGCACTCATATATAGTCTAGTGTATTCTCCCGACATTATACTGGCATATAGTCTCAACAATAGTTACTTTTAGGTCTTATAAAACGACCGTTTTCAAAACTTGACCATTAAAAATTTCTAAGCGTGCTTTTACTCATGCCGACTTTCTTATATTAAGATTACTTATTTCTATAGTTCCTAAACCGCCCCTGGAGATATCTTCATATACATAGATACCATGGAACACACAATTATATAAAGAAAAGAAAACTTTTGTAAATTTGTATGAAAATAATAAGATATTATACCACTTATACAAATGAATATAATCTAAAAAAGCCGTTTTTAAAATATTTTTTAATTAATTTAAAATTAATAAGAATCATGTCCGATTTTGGGTTTCCAAACTAATTTTACAACATTTTTTTAAAACTTCAAATTTATTTAAAATTTATTTTGTATTTTAAAAAGATGAACATGCTGAACACAAAACTGGTGAAGATTAATAAATTGATTTTAAAGTTTTTAAGATATGATCATTGATATGCGTGTATATATAGCCAGTTTTGGACAAGAACTGAACTACAAGGTTACATACATATATAAACAATGTTTTCTAAAACTTTATATTTATACTAGGTTGCTGCCCGCTACTTCGTTAGCGATACATTTTTGGGTTTAAATTAAATTTAAAAACAATAATACAAACGATTTTTAAAATTTCATTATTTGTTGTAATTTATATGCAATATGTCGTCACGTAAAACGCAAACGGACCTATCTAACATTTTTAAAATTTTACAGGAAAAGCAAAAAACTATTTAAATTAAAAAGTTTGTTTCTATCAACGCGAAACGAATTTTTTAACAGTGAAGTCTATACCTTTGCAACTGTCAAGGTGTATATATAAAATTGGTTTTTAGGTCACGATATGTAAATTGAAAGTCGTTTTCATTAACATCCAATAAATCTCAACAGGATAGAGCTACATGAAACTTTGTAGTTTTTTCTTCGTAATAAATATTTCAAAAATAAATTATATTGTTTATGTCATACATTTTATTATTAAAGGTAAAAAGTCCAATTTATCCAGTTTTATATACGTCATTGTAACTATCATAACAAATGTTAGGTTTCACTATTAAACAATTTGTTTATTTCCTACAAATAAATCGCGTTGATAGAAATAAACTTTTTCATTTAAATATGTAGTTTTTTGCTTCTCCTGTATAATTTTAAAAATGTTAGATAGGTCCGTTTGTCTTTTAGATGACGATATGTATATAAAAGAGTTGTGTTACTGACTGACAGATTCATCATCGCACAGCTCAAACGGCTGAACCTAGAATCATGAAATTTTGACAGTGGATGTGTTTTTGGTTATGTAGATCCACTAAGGAGGGATTTTTGGAAATTTGTACATTATTATCTTACACAATATTAGTGATACAAACAAAAATTAAAATTCACCTGTATATACTTTTAAAATGAGATGGGTGTCTGGTACTTTTTTTTAATTCGTACTTTTAAGGGTAAAAGAGTAACAAAAGTGATTTTGGTACCTTATTTATAACTTTTTAACTAAAAATGTAATAAAATTTTTGTAAATGTTTTGGGCATATCTTCCAAAATTATGAGAAACCTGTTTCGTACTTTTTTAAATTCACTTCTTTTTGGGTGCTAAAGAGAGAAAAAAGAAGTTCTTGTACTTTTTTGTATCACATTAAGAAAACTTTTTCGATTTATTGACGCATACCTATTAAATCATGGACTAACTCTGTAATATTTATTGAAACAAAATATTTGCTATTTCATCGGGGAGAAAAAAGTACCAAAAAGGGCAAAAACGGAAATTTCACTTTATTCAAACTTATTGTTGAGCCAACTTTTATAAAATATGAAAAAAGTTAATTTACTTACACAAAATAAGCTATTGGTATATTATTTTCGAATTCGCCTACTAAAGACTATAAAGGACCAAATTTGAGTAATTTTTGAAAACACAGTTTTTCAAATCTGCATTAAGAGTCGTTTAAGTTTTATTTGCGATATACAATATTTAAAAACGGAATATTTTGTAAACTTAATTAAATGTATCATTAGGTAATAAGGGGGAAAATGGTATTCTTTTTATTAGTACTTTCTTCAAACGTAGAATTTATACCACTATTTCATAATTTCAATATTTATCCATAAACAACAATATTTATCTAACAGATTCTCATCAATGATTTTATTAACATGACTGATAAGAATCTCTTCTACTTTTTCTTTCTTCAAATGGTACTTTTTGTATGTTCTCTAATATGAAGACAAAACATAAAGCACATTATACATAGACGGTCCTTATTGAATAACATTTTTTAAGTGAGAACATTTTCGATACTCAAATCGTAGTTTTTAAATTTCCCATTATGTTGAACATAGAAACATACATTTTAACATACAGGGTCCTGACTGAATTCAAAATTGACGTAATATAAAGTAAATTTTTACGATTTTATAAGTATTTTTTGATCATTCGCCTTGGTAATGCACTTTTAATATACAAAATGGCTCCTAAAAAGTTGTTCTTGCGGTCAAAAGAAAAAAACATGGATGATCTTAATGAATGTGAATCAATGAGACAAATTCCTTTAAAAAATTCTATCCATTAGTTTATAATTTCGCAGATTTAGCTTGTGCAAGACATTCTCATATATAAAACGATCCTTTATTCCATTTATTCACTTTATTCATTCAATTTATAAAAGTGAACTTTCTGCTACTTTTTCGTTTTTGTAACAAAATACATGTTTTTATTATTTCGTTTTGTTTATTATTATTTTCAGATTTATTGAGCCAACCCATTTTCAAAAAAGGTAACTGAACAAATTTTATGAATTTTATTTAAATTTAGTAAATTTGTGAATAAAGATTTTTTAAACAAACCTATGTGATTTTATTTTTTTAATAAAAACATAAGAAAATTATAAAAAACGTATAATGGTAAATATAATGAAAACTATGATTGCTGTCAGAAATGTTTATACTTTTTGACACAATATAAATAATTATATGTGATCAGAAGCATCATTTCTTATGTAAGTATGTTTCTATTATATGGGCCGATTGGGCTGATTTTAAATAGCGTTATATTCGATCGTATTTCCAATAGAATGATTGAAAATTCGGATCTCGTAGATATCTGGGGTCTTCTGAAAACTGATTTCAACATACACACAGACAGACGGACATGGATAATTCGCCTCCGCTATCTATAAAGATCCAGAATATATATACTTTATAGGGTCGGAAAATTATATTATAGAAATTACAAACGGAATGACAAACTTATATATACCCTTCTCACAGATTATAGACTAGACTTAAGTTCAGACTATATAAACAGACTTTAGTCCAAACTATAGAATAGACTATGGTGTTGTTTACAATCCAGACTTGACAATACTAGACCTTAGTCCAAACTATATACTAGTTTATAATACAGTCCAGTCTATAGACTAGATTATAGTTCAGAATATAGACTTTAGTCCAGACTGTATTCTAAACTATAGTCCAGACTATAGACTAGACTACAGTCCAGACTAGACTATAGGTGACAGCCCAGACTATAGGCTAGCTATAGTCTTGTCGGGACTGTAGATTAGAATATAGACCAGACTATAGACAAAACATAGTCCAAACTATAGACTAGACTGTAGTTCAGACTATAGACTAGACTATAGCTCATAGACCTAACTATAGACTAGAATATAGTCCTGATTACAGCCTAGACTACAGTCCAGATTATAGACTAGACTTTAGTTCAGACTATAAACTACAGTCCAGACTATAGACTAGACTTTAGTTATGTTATGTTTTGTTATGCTACTGCTATGTTTTGTTGAAAACAATGAGGATATCTGTAGTGGATTTCTTATTTTTTTATTTTGCAATACTATGTCTAAAATGAAAAATAAAAAAAAGGAAATTAGAACAGTAATAACATAGGAATTCTGTTTAAATATTTATTTTCCTCAAATACCAGTTGTTGGTACGAATCTTGCAAAAAGTTGGCTCCAAAAACATCGGCATTTTGATCTTTAAGAGCGGATTTTTGAGATGGTAATCAAATGCCAATTAATAATCAGATTAGTTAATCGAAAAATAAATTTAATCTTATGTTAATCCCCTTTGATGTTTTTGAGTACAAGATTAAACTTCGCATTGTTGCCATACAAAACAACAGAAAACTTCACTGTTTGTTATCAAAACAATGCATATTTTATAAAAAGAAGAAGACAATTGTAAATTTAATATGAAAATTAATGAAAACTTAAATTAAAAACAAAAAAATGTATTTTGAAGTGTCCATAATTTATACTAATCAATAAATAGAACATTTTAATGTTTATATTTATAAAAATTTTATTAATTTTTTTGCATCAGCTGTTTACACTTTTGCATTTCGTGCTTAAGATTAAACCACCTCCATTGGGAGCTTAAACTTGCAAACAAAATTAACTAATTGAGTACTCAAAAACATCTTTCGAGGATTAATTTTAATTTAATCGCTAATCTTTCACCTAAAGATTGGCCCTAAACCAAGTACTCAAATCATGATTGTTCACTTGTTTTTCATATTTTTCTATTAGAGGCCATAAATTCTCAATAATTTCCGAAACATTTTTCAAAGATATGGCTGCATCAAATTTTAGCAATGTTTCGATAGCGCTTGAATCATGAACTTGTTGCGGTCTCATATACCACGTATAAAAGTAATTGTCTCGACCCGTCGCAGTTACTAATTTCATCGGATAATGCAGATCTACCCAAAGAACGATTGATATATTACGCTTGTGCTGTTCGTTTTTTGTGCTAAATGTAATAAATTTACTTTTATTGTTATTGGCTTTTACGGAAAGCTTCCTTTGTGTTCTACCAAAGTTTGCAAAGTGCATTTGTTGCAAACATAACAAAACCTTGGAACGCCATTTAATTGTAGTATGCCTTTGGCCCATATTCACTGTTAACATGCGTCCGGCATCCAAGAAATGTTGAAAAATTTTAGCACTTTGAACAGCCACCAAATGGGGTACATGATAAAGCAATGTCTTTTGATATATCAGAACTTGGCAGTACTGCAAAATCCGTCTGCAAATCAGAAAATAAAGTTAATTGGTCTGGCATCACCCTTCTGCACAAAAAAGAGAAAGCACTCAATTCGCTGCACAATTGAGTAATTCTCTCTTTGCAGATTGAATGAAAAATGAGTAGTTTGATAAACTACTTTGTTATTTTCCTGCCGGCTTTTGGTAAACTTTTTTCAGAGTTGCATAAAAAGGTAATAACTATTAAGAAAACAAACTTTTTTATACCTATTAAGAAAACAAACTTTTTAATAAACTTTTTTCACTTTTGGCAATACCTATTAAGAAAACAAATTTTTTAACAAACTTTCTTCACTTTTGGTAAACATTTTTTCAGAGTGGCAAAAAAGGTACTTTTTCTGCATGTACGTGTTAAAAAAACTAAAAAAATGGCAACGAAAGAAAACAAACCATAACAAAAGCTAAAGCAGTATATTTAAATGGACAATAGTGATCGATAGGGAATCGATTAAGGAATCGATCCCTGTACTGATTTTTTTCGGGGCGCTTTTTATCGGATGCTGTGGCGTAACAAACTTTGACAAATTCACAAATCTAACGAAAACGAGGAAACAGTTTTTATACAAAAAAATTTTAAAATATTCCGTGTGCACCAAAACAGCTAATAGTGATCAATAGATAATCGATCCCAATATTGATTTTTTCCGGGGTACTTTCTATTGGACGCTGTGATGCAACAAATTTCGGCAACTCATAAAAAGAGAAAAAAACGTTTAAACAAAAAAAATTTAAAATATTCCGTGTGCACCAGAACAGCCGATAGTGATCAATTGGTAATCGATTAAGGAAACGATCCCAATACTGATTTTTTTCCGGGGTACTTTCTATTGCACGCTGTGACGTAACAAACTTTGACAACTTCACAAATCTAACGAAAATAAGGAAAAAGTTTTTATACAAAAAAATTTTAAAATATTCCGTGTGCACCAAAACAGCTAATAGTGATCAATAGAGAATCGATTAAGGAATCGATCCCTATATTCATTTTTCCGGAGTACTTTCTATTGGACGCTGTGACGCAACAAACTTCGGCAACTTCACAAAATCTGACAAAAAATAGAAAAAAGTTTTTACACAAAAAATTTTAAAACATTCCGTGTGCACCAAAAAGTCAAAAGTGATCGATAGAGAATCAAAGGACGAAGGAGTTATGACAACAGCTAGCAAATGCCTACGAGGACAGTGGTTTAACACGTCGAGTGGCACTTCTGCGTAAACTCATTACAACAACTCTTTCAAATTGCAGCTCAATGGACATGTATGTAAAGGAAATTGTAACTACCGCACAATCGTTAAATGGCATTGGATTTCCAATTAGTGAAGAATGGGTTGGATCCTTATTATTGGCCGGACTTCCTGATGACTTTCGTCCAATGATAATGGCGCTAGAATACTCTGGAATTAGCATCAATGGTGATAGCATAAAAATAAAATTATTGCAAGAGGTGCCAAGTGCGTTCGAAAATTCCGCTTTTCATGTAAACCATAGTCAAGTACAAATAAAATAGGCCCGCGATGTAGAAAATGCAATCATTTTGGCCACATCGCAAAGTATTGCCGTTCAAGGTTACAACACACCGACAATAATAATGAAAAAAGTTCGACGCCTTTACAGCAATGGCACTATTAACCTTTAGAAACACATGCACAAATGACTGGTATTTTGACTCGGGTGCCACATCACATATGACGGTAAACGAAAACTTGCTAAACAACGCGAACGCAGAGAGTGGAATTGTAACAACTGCAAATAGAAGTATAATGCAACCGGACTGCGCTACAACCAGACTGCAACGATTCATTCATAGAACTAAACCACGTTCAATATATTCCCGAGCTATCAACAAATTTGTTAAAAAAGGACACAAAATTGTTTTTAAAAATAATGGTGTTGAAGTCATAAACCCTAATGGAAAAATTATTGCTACTGGCTGTCACATAAATGGTTTGTTTAAATTCAATGGCCATTCAACAAAACAAAATAAAGAGTTTGCATTTAATTCTGTAGATAGTCTACAATTACAGCACAGAAAAATGGGCCACCTTAACATCAAAAGTTTACAAAAATTAAAAAACGGTTTGGCAACTGGCATTGAATTTGCTACAACAACCACAAATGATTGTAAAATTTGTCCAATTGGCAAACAAATCAGGTTGCCTTTTAAGAAACATGCTACTAGAGCTTCTCGTATTCTTGATATTTGCGGCCCAGTGGAAGAAGAGTCCCTTGGTGGCAAACGTTATTTTATAACTTTCATAGATGATAAAACTCGAAAAATTTTTGTATATTTTTTAAAACCAAAGGAGAAATAGAAGTAGCTGATGTTTTTAAAAAATTTCAGAACTTTGCAGAAAAACAAAGTGGTCAAAAATTTAAAATCCTTCGCACTGACAACGGAAAAGAATACCTAAATAAAACGTTTCAGAAAATTATCAATGAAAATGGTATTTACCACCAAACTACAAATGTCCACTCCCCAGAAGAAAACGGAGTAGCCGAGCGAAACAACCGATCTATTGTTGAGAAAGCAAGATGTATGCTTTATGATGGAAATTTGCCAAAAGTTTTCTGGGCTGAAGCAGTAGCTTACTCGGTATATTTACTCAATCGTTCACCTTCAAAAGGAACGTGCATAATCCCTGAAGAAGCATGGAGTGGAAGAAAACATACACGTTTTTGGAACCATAGCTATGGTACATATACCAAA